TTAATTATTAGCATAATTCACAAGGACATCATACAATAAGAGGAATTTATGAGGATGGTGAGGGAAGTGGCGAGGAAATATGGTGTTTGTGTTACTGCTTGATGTGATGTGTTGTGAGAGGAGTGAGGTATGAGGTTGTGATGAGGATGTTGTGAGGATGTGACGGAGGTATGAGGTTGTGATGAATGTGTGAGGGTGAGGAGGACGCTGTGAGGAGTGACGGAGGTATGAGGTTGTTGTGACGTGGAGGACTGTGAGGACGTGAGGTATGAGGTTGTGACGAGGAGGTGAGGACGTGACGGAGGTATGAGTGACGAGGCTGTGACGTGAGGAGGCTGTGACGGACGCTATGAGGACGTTACGGAGGTATGAGGTTGTGATGAAAGTGTGAGGTGACGAGGACGCTGTGAGGACGTGACGGTGGTATGAGGTTGTGAGGACGTGGCGGAGGTGGGAGGTTGTGACGAGGACGTGACGGAGGTATGAGGTTGTGACGGAAGTATGAGGTTGTGACGAGGATATGACGGAGGTATGAGGTTGTGACGGAAGTATGAGGAAGTGACGAGGACGCTGTGAGGATGTGACGGAGGTATGAGGTTGTGACGAGGATGCTATAAGATGAGGTATAAGGTTGTCGCGAGGATATGAGGTTGTGACGAGACTACCACGAGGTTGTGACGATTCTGTACATAAGATTCTATCCCCGAGACATCCATCACGCTTTTAGTTTAGTTTATCCATCTTATCTATCTACCATTACCCTTTTCTCTTTATTATCAAATATCTTCATCTCACTCTCATTACTTTCTTTCCTGAAGGGGAGGTGGGTGGGTGGGTGGGGGGGGGGGGGGGGGGTCATCCGATCATACATCCGGCACCTTGCTTGTGTTACTTTTAACATCACGTTTCACTCGACGCTGCTGCTGGACACGTGACTGACTGACAAGCAAAGATTAACACTCCGGGCTTCGGGACGGGAATGAATAGCATAAGAGATTGGGGGCCGGACTACGCGCCCGAGGAGATTGACTGCCGTATAAAAGATTCGGAAATATTCACGCCAAAATACATCTCGAATGATGGAAAAAAAGGGAAAAAAAAATTAGAAAAAGCACGGGAGGGCCCCAAAAGGCTGGGTGGTGGGGGCATGTCCGGTTTCAAAACTGGCAACATTAATACTGCTAATGAACCTAACCAGTAAATAAGCTTAACGAACAAGCTTAATTAATCAAATTGGGGGCAGGGCTATTCTCTACACCCTCCCCTCCCCTCCCTTTCCTCTCTCTCTCTCTCTCTCTCTCTCTCTCTGCTTCCACCCTATCCCCACCCCCCACCCTCCATTCCCACTAGGCTGCATGGAATGGCTGATCTCTCTCTCTCTCTCTTTCTTTCTTCTCTCTCTTTCTCTTTCTTACTCACTCACTCACTCTTCTTACTCACTCACTCACTCTTTCTTACTCACTCACTCACTCTCTTTCTTAATCACTCTCTCTTCTTGCTCACTCTCTCTCTTACTCTAACTCACTCTCTTCTTGCTCTCTCTCTCTCTCTCTCTTTTACTCTCTCCTCCTCCCCTACCGACACCCCACTCCCCCTGTTCTCCCTGCCATTATAAATCTCCAGTCTTGCCGTCCCATCGCGAGACACTCCCGCTCTCCCCTTCCTCTGCCCCCCCTCCTGCAGCCCCTGTCATGACAAGGCTTTGTGGCAAGGGACTCGCTTCCCCTCTTCTTCCCCCTGCCAGACCTCTCTGCCCCCTTCCCTTCATGGCAGGTCTTTCCCCTCTCTCATGGTGCCTCCCCTTCCTTCGGTCCCCTTCGTGGAAAGACTCTCGCCTCATTTTCTTTCCTCTCCCCTCAGTTTCTCTCTTTCTCTCCAGCTTAAAACTCCCCTTTCCCCTTTCCTCAAAAATAAAAGGTGTTTCCTTTCTCCCCCCCTTTGGCGTTGTGCCAGATCTTCCTCTCCCCCCCCCCCTCCTTTCCCCTCTCTCTCCCTTCCCTCCCCTTTCCTTTTACATAGAGGGTATTTTCTCCCCTCGTCTGATTCATAGGCTTCTTTCCCTTTTCTTCCTTCCCCTTGTGCGGCAGGTTTCTCCCCCTCTTTTCCCCTCTGTCGATCATGCTAAGTCTGCGTTCCATGTTCCGATCTCGTTTCCCCTTCTCTGACATCTTCCCTTCTCAGTCTTTTTATTACGACCCCCTTTTCTGAAAAAAGAATTACCCATTCTTTTTCTCGCTTTAACTTTCTCCTCTCTTCCTCTCTCTCTTCTCTTTCATTCTTTACCGTCTTCATTCCCTCTTTCCTTATTCACCGCTTTCTATTCTTCACCTCTCCCTTCCCTTCGCCTCTGCTCTCTTCCCCCTCTTTGCCTTCTTCCCCTCTTCACCTGCTTCTCCCTCTTTGCCTTCTTCCCCTCTTCACCTGCTTCTCCTCTTTACCTTCTCCCCTCTCCCCCTCCCCTCCCCTCCCTCCCTCCCCTCGTCTCCCCTCCGCCCTCGTGGCCTGCAGGAGGAGAAAGGTGGAGAAGTGCACCGCCTTGTTTGGCTTACACAGCCTGTTTAGATGATTGAATGGCCGGGGACGTAGCCTAGCGCCGCCCTGCCGACCTGCGCTCCTAAGGCCGGAATTCCCCTCCCGTCCTGTGAGGCAGTCGCCCTTCACGTCAGCGGCGGATACGGCCTTTATGTGTTTATTTATCATATCCAGCAGGGCTGTAGAGATTTTTCAATTACTTAAAATGCCCACTGAGATAGTGTACACATCCAGACCCTGAGCCCCATTGCTCTCCAATATGATATTCATTTCCAGCCGTTTTGGCAAAGCGTATTCGCCATTGTTTCCCGGCCCTAATTATTAATGACGTTGTGAATATGAAATGAAAAAGGAGGAAAAAAAAGAAGAAGGTAGAGAAAAATAGCAGAGGGAATTAGATTTCATACACTTCTATCAATTATTTACCGGCAAGATGAAAGTCTCTGGGGGTCAGGTCTTGCTGTGTTTGCCGCATGCAGGGGGTCAATGCTGGCAACACAGGGCAACATTGTGCAATATTGTGGTTAGTGGCGTGTCCGGTTGAGGCGTGGTTGATGTCGGTTAAAATGCGGTTGGTTTAAGATGGAAAGAGAGTGGGTTGAATGTGGTTGATTCGTTGAGGATAGAAAGGGGTTGAGTTGTGAGGGAAATAAGTGGTTTGGATGTGGTTGATTTGAGGATAAAAAAGGGGTTGATTTGTGAGGATAAGAAGTGGTTCGGAGGTGGTTTTGTCGAGAGAAAATAGTGGGAGATTTGTGAGGAAAAAGTGGTTTATTTGTGAGGAAAAAAGTGTTGAATTGAGGAAAAAATGGTGTTGATTTGTGAGGAAAAAGAAGTGGTTTAGAGGTGGTTTTGTCGAGAGAAAATAGTGGTAGATTTGTGAAGAAAAAAAGTGTTTGATTTGTGAGGAAAAAAGTGGTTGATTTGAGGATAAAAAAGGGGTTGATTTGTGAGGATAAGAAGTGATTTAGATGTGGATAGTTTGTCGAGAGAAAATAGTGGTTCATTTCTGGGGGGAAAGTGGTCCAGATGCGGTTATTGTCAAAAAAAAAAAAAAAAAAAACGGTTGATTTGTCAGGATAAAAAATGACTGACGTATTTTTGATTAGTAAAGATAAAAAATGAAAATAAAAATACAATCCTTCACATGGAAACGTATAAACCAACAAACATACACATCCGTACTCACAAACAAAAAAAACATCATAATCCAAACACAGACGCACGCAAACAAGCACAAAATTAAATTCAAACAACCAAACATAAACAAACCCCAATCCACCAAGCAAACATAAACAAACAAAGAAATCCACCCCCCACCCCACCCACCACCCAACCACAAAATCCTAACGAACATTATACATAACCATATAATTCCAACAAACAACATGACCATAAGACCCAAACATAACCATACCTTCATAACAAACATATTACATAACCATAAAATCATAACAATCAACATATTACACAACCATACAATCATAATAACAATACACAACCATACAATCATCATAAACAACGTATTACATAACCATATAATCATAACAAACATATTTCAAAACCATACAATCATAATAACATAATACACAACCATACAACCATAACAAACAACATATTACAGAACCATCCAATCATAAACAACATAACAAGCAGGTCACGCTCTTAACCACCAAACTACCTGTTACGGATAGTTTGTTATTTATGCTACATATCGTAACTGATTGAACCTTATCCATTGCGACAAATAGTAGGAAAAATGTATGAATGAGAATGAATATCTTCACAATAGGTTTCGGATATATACTCGTCAGAAATATATAGACATATGCATTTCTGGCGAAGATATATATATTCGAAGATATATATTCGAAACCTTTCAAATACAACTTCAAATACAACGAATCATTCTTATGTGTGTTTCTGACGAAGATGTATTCGAAACCGGTGGAATACAACGGATATCTTCATAATATATTCGAAACCGGTTAAATACACTATTTTCACACCATTCATAATTTATTCGAAACAATACACCATTTTTACACCATTCATAATTTATTCGAAACCAATTGAATTTACACAATATTTACACCATTCATAATTTATTCGAAACCGGTTAATACACCATTTTCACACCATTCATAATTTATTTCGAAACCAATTGAATTTACACAATATTTACACCATTCATAATTTATTCGAAACCGGTTAAATACACTATTTTCACACCATTCATAATTTATTCGAAACCGGTTAAATACACTACACACCATTTATTCTCATTACACGTATTTCAACTACGAAGATTTATTCGAAACCGGTTAAATACAACGAATATCTTCACACCATTCATTATATATTCGAAACCGGTTAAGTACACTATCTTTACACCATTTATTCTCATTACACGTATTTCAACTACGAACTATATTCTAAACCGGTTAAATACACAAATACATTGTGTAGATATCCATTCCCATTCATGTCTTTCCTGCATTTTAGCGGAAAAATACACACGCTCGTTATATTGCAGATCTACACGCCTTGGTTATTAATGCTATGCGTAGGATACACAAACAACCCGAGGTAGATTATGCTCGAGTTAAAAAAAAAAAAAAAAAAAAAAAAAAAAAAAAAAAAAAAAAAAAAAAAAATCAGGGTTTATTTGTTTTTGATTAGATTGCAAGGACACGCTCCTTTTGTTGTTTGTCTTTTTTTTTTTAACTACACTGCGGTACAGATATTCTTGCCGGGGGGTGGGGTAAGGGCTGGTGGGAGGGGGGGGTGTTGTGGGGGTGATTACGGTGGTAGTTTGAGAGTTGTGTGGTGTGTGTGTGTGTGTGTGTGTTGTGTGTGTGTGTGTGTGTGTGTGTGTGTGTGTGTGTGTGTGTGTGTGTGTGTGTGTGTGTGTGTGTGTGTGTGTGTGTGTGTGTGTGTGTGTCTGTGTCTGTGTATGTGTGTGTGTGTGTGTGTGTGTGTGTGTGTCTGTGTGTGTTTATTTCATTTACTTTCTAATCTGGTAACGGAGAGTATTATCTTTTTTAGGTAGATGGGGGTGGGGGTGGGGGGGGGTATAAGTAATGGTGATATCATTTCTGCATTCGGATGTAGCTGTGTTTGTGTGTGTGGGGGGGGGTCTGTATGTGAATGTGTGTATGTGTATATATGTATGTCTATGTATATTCATGTGTGTATGTTTGTATGTATGTCTATGTATGTATGTGTACGTCTGATGTATGTATATGTCTATGTATGTGTGGTCTGTATGTATATCTGCATATGAATGTGTGATGTGTATGTATGACTATGTCTACATGTGAATGTATGTCTGTTTATGAAGGTATGTATATGCAACTGTATGTGAACGTGGCTATGCGTATGTGTGCCTATGCGTCTGTATGTGCATGTACGTCCACTGTATTATGTGATGTGTGTGTGTGTGTCTGTATGTGCTCTTGAGCGAAGCGACGCCAATTTCAGCACTCGGGAATTAATTTTAGCGATGCGACCGACCGCGAAGATTTGTTCCCGCGAAAACCGAGCCAGGTGGAAAATCCGCGCAAATACAGCTTGCAGAACCGACGAGTAGGAGGGGGGGGAGGGGGGGGGAGGGGGGGAGAGGGAACTAATCGCAAATTTCAATGTGATTCGTGAAGGGGTGAGGTGGGGTGGGTGGGGCGGGGAGGGAGGGTTGAGAGAGAAAAGGTGGTGATTGCAAATTCAGGTAACCTCGTATGTGCGTTTGTGTGCGTGTGTATGTGTGTGTGCGTGTGTGTGAGTGTGTGTGTGTGTGTGTGTGTGTGTGTGTGTGTGTGTGTGTGTGTGTGTGTGTATGTGTGTGCTGTGTGTGTATGCGTGCGTGCGCGCGAATGTGTGCGTCTACGTGTCTACCGCCTGTGTATCTATGTGCGTGCGTTTCTACATACACGTGCGTTTTGCCCACCGCTATTTAATCTAATTTCTCTACGAATATATTTGAATGAAACCAATAATCTTGTAATATAGAATTACCCGAGAATTACTAACGGAATTATGGCCGTATTCCAGTTACTCAATATATCTCTGTATTTACTCTATGTGTTCAGCCAACAGGGAAAAGAAATGAGTTTAAAATGATACTTCAAATTCATATATTTTTTTTTTTACGTAATCTGTTTAAATTTTCTCGTTTCGTAAAATTGCTGCAAAAGACTTGAATAAAGAGAGGATTGATGGAGTTACGTTGATCGTACAGCATCCGTCCGTCTATCCATCCACGCATCCATCTCATTTATCCTTCTATCCATCCATTCATTCACTCATTCATTCCATCTATCCATTATCCATTCATTCATCATCCATCTATCCATCCATTCATTCATCATCGATCCATCTATCCATTATCTATCTATCTATTATCATCGTCATCCATCCATCCATTCATTTCATCATCTATCCATCCATTCATTCATCCACCATCCATCCATCCATCTATCTATTTATCTATCTGTATATCTATCCATCCGTCCATCATCCATTCATTCATTGATCCATCTATCCATCCATCCATCCATCCACACTCATCCACTCCTCAATCCACACACACACAAACACACACACACTTCACATTTCTTAACCCCCCCCCCCCCACACACACACACACGCACACACACACACACACACACACACACATACAGTCACCTCCCACAGAAAGTGAATTAAGGAAGGATGAGGAAATAATGAACTGTATTCATGTTGACAAATGTAGAAAAAGTATGAATGAGAATGAGTCTCTAGTATTGTGAAGATATTCTTAACCAGTGAGTGCTTAAGAAAGGAAGATAGGTCGATAAAGAAGGAGAGAGAAAGGGAGAGAGAGAGTGAGAGTATAAGAGAGAGGAATGAGAGTATGAGAGATAGATATAGAGAGAGAGTGAGAGAGAGGAGAGAGAGAGAGAGAGAGAGAGAGTGAGAGTGAGAGCGTAGAGAGAGAGAGAGAGAGAGAGAGAGAGAGAGAGAGAAGAGAGAGAGAGAGAGAGAGAGAGAGAGAGAGAGAGAGAGAGAGAGAGAGAGAGAGAGAGTATGAAAGAAAGTGATTGAGAGAGAAAGAAAAGAGAGCAAGAGTGAGAGAGAGAAGAGAGTAAGAGTATTGAGAGAGAGAGAGAGAGAGAGAGAGAGAGAGAGAGAGAGAGAGACAGACAGACAGAGAGAGAGAGAGAATGTGATATATGAAAATGTTATTACATGACACAACTTCAGTCTTCCATATAATTCTAAACTTTGAAAATGTGTGTATTTCAAAACAATATATCTAGCAATTTTTAAGTCATGAACATTCTCCTCTCCCTCGTCTGACTCGTTATTTATCGCGAATTTTCATTATGAAAGATATTATCATTCATAAACAAAAGATTACAACACAAATATGCAAGCGTATGTATCAGAGGTACTTAACTTTTTTGCTTCTTCACGCCTTCGGGACTTTGCCCCTGTCTCCATAACCCCCTTTTGTATCTATGAGTAAAAT